AGCACAGTATTAAGTTAAAGGGGGGAAAAAGAGTAGAAATGGTGATTGATTGATCTATGGAGACACAGTGTTTCAGGAGGGCAATCAAGTCTTTTCCCACCTAAAGGCCCAGTTAACTTGCAACCTGGTCTTAGTTCCCCTGGCTTCTCCTGGCTTCCGTTTTGAAGTTTCTGATCACCATTTCCCATCCTCATTTTGACTAACATTTTTAAGTGTCTCAAATTATATCAAGGTGTACCAAGGTTCATGCTTCTCAAACTATTCCACTCCCTGAAATTGCACCCACTCGAGCAGAAAACTAGACGTAAGGCCTCTGCAGCTCCGGGTGTGTGATGGGCGGGCGGAGGGAAAGCGCACCTGGGAAAGGCTGACACTTCCTGTACACCCGCACTCCACGGACAGGGCCTAGGTCACTTGCCAATCACTTGCAAAATCTTATGTTTATCTGAGTTCTGGGTAGATAGTGTATAGTGTCCAACATTTTCTCGAAGGGTTTAGACTCTAAACTTTAGAGTCACTACCCTGGAATATTTAGGCTCAGAGCTCCCAACCTTGGCATTAACTCCTCTTGTGTCTGGCGCTGGTATCACCTGCAGCACAAGGACTGGAGCCACATCCATGTCCCTCTTTCTTTCTAAAGGAAAATGGGCTTCTGTTCCCTCTACCACAGAGCACCTCTGCTTTGGGGTAGGAGGAGTTTCTTTAAAATACCAATTACCTGAAAAATAACCTCCCCGAGAATTTTTTTAAAGAATGAATTATACGAAGCCTAAAGCCAGGACACTCACTAATGTCTTCACAAGGAAGATAAATATATAGCAATATCTGCTTGCAATGTAGCTGTAGAAAGTGGATGAAAGAAAAACACCCAAAGAAAGCCATATAGTTACTTAGATATAGCCATGGTTCTTTTTTTTTTTTTTTTTAACTTATTCTGAGATGTAGTGTGCATCCATATTTAATTTTTTTAAATATAAATTTTATTGATTTTTTTTTTTTACAGAGAGGAAAGGAGAGGGATAGAGAGTTAGAAACATCGATGAGAGAGAATCATCTATCAGCTGCCTCTTGCACATATCCTACTGGGGATGTTCCCCGCAACCAAGGTACATGCCCTTGACAGGAATCAACCAGGGACCCTTCTGTCCACAAGCCGACGCTCTATCCACTGAGCCAAACCGGTTTCAGCTAACCATGGTTCTTAACAATGACACCCATAAATCTTAAAAAGGTGTCCGACAAACTCACAATTCAGGCAGCCCCTGGTCGATGTTACATGAGGCCCTACATCACAGGCTGGCAGCAGAGTAGTGGCTAAAAGAAAAATTTGGGTCCCGCTGCTTAAACATGACTCCAGGGCTTCCCCACTTACCTGCACTGTGATTGGGACAAAGTAAGTAATCTTCTAAGCCTTGGTCTCTTCCTTCCAAAATGGGAGTAAGAATGTTTTGCAGTTCCATGTAAGGACTAAATACAATTAAGATTTAACATCATGCCTGGCACATGTAGGTATTCAGTACGTATTAGCTGCTATATCCATGGGATTCCAAAGGAAAAATGGATTGTATGTTAAAGATCAGGAATTCAGGAAGTTTCAAGTCATTTGTTTGATTGGCCAGGCCTGAGCAGGTATTCTGTTTTTATTTCAGGTGTTGGGTAAGGTTCTAAAGCAGGGTTCTCAACCCAGGCTGCCCTTGAGAATCACATGGGGTTGAGAGGGGACTGACACCCGAATATTTTTAACCCTCCTTGGGTAATTTCAGCCAGATAAAGTTCTCATTTGCACTAAAATTCTTGAACTCACTACGAGTTTGTATTGATGGTAGGAAAGTAGCTCAAACAAACAGTATCTAGTCAGTGTCGAGATGAGGTTTTCCACAGGAGGATGTAAGGATTCTATAAAAGATCAAACAAACAAACAAACAAAATCCACTTATTTTTATCTGTGCAGCTTTGTAGGCATCATAGTCTTAATAAAGCCTAGTAGAGAGGCCTATCCTAAGGAATTAAAATTATCTTGGCTCATTTACATCAGCACTAGGTGTTTTTCTCATAATAAATTTATTAGTAGTATGTGCAAAATATGTATAGTTTCTCCCAGCCTCTGAAGCAAAATAGCACTGAAACATGATAATTAATTGGCTTCTATGCAATGTGTCAGCCTTTAATGAAAACGTGGGATTGGCTGGAGGGAGAGGGGAATGGGGAATTATTGGTTAATGGGTAGAGCTTCAGTTTGGGAAGAGGAAAAGAGTTGTAGAAATGGATGATGGTGATGGCTGCTGTTCTGTTCTTGGATGAGATGGCCAGTCAAGTGTGGCCACACGAGAAGACAAGAGTACACAGTTGGTTGAACTCCCAGGTCCTGGAAACAGGAAGGGCTGAACAGCAACAAGGACACATGGGAAAGTACTAGCGCAAGGCAGGAGGCAGGAGCAGGAGCTGGGAGCCTGGGCGCGGCCTTCACTGGTGTTCCCGAGGGAAAGGCGAGGCAAGGTGGGGTGACCAGTGTAGAGCTGGCCATTGGAATCACTTCAGCAGGCTCTAGGCTGCAGGACTGGCTCCTCCTCCTCCTCCTCCTCCTCCTCTTCCTCCTCCTCCTCCTCCTCCTCCTCCTCCTCCTCTTCCTCCTCCTCCTCCTCCTCCTCCTCCTCCTCCTCCTCCTCCTCCTCCTCCTCCTCCTCTTCCTCCTGGCCATTGGAATCACTTCAGCAGGCTCTAGGCTGCAGGACTGGCCCCTAGCTGCCTGGTCCTGGGCCCTGGCAAGACTAAGGCAGGGAAATATTGCCTCTTGGGATATAAAGCCAGACAGAGGGGCTCTGGACTGGTTAGTTTGCCTATGGAAGGACTGCTCCCTGGTGAGCCCTTGGCTATCTCTAAGGATTGACCGTCCCTGAAGGGGCAGTCTCTCCCCAGCCAGAAAGCCTTGTAGTGTGTCAAAACATCATAATGTACAGAGAATGAAAAATATAACACAGCTGCACAACAGTGTGAATGCATTCAATGACACTGAATTGTACATGTGAAAGTGGTACATTTTGTTATGGGCATTTTATAATAACAACAACAACAACAACCACCATCCAGTATCCACAAGATAAGAAATGGTGAACTCTAGACAAAAGACAAGAACCAAATTTTTTAAAAATGCAGAGGTCAGAGAAGGCATCTTACATCAAGAACTTCAAGGGCTACTGAAGTATGTATCTCTTTCCCAAGAGTAAAACAAGAAATTGTCTTCTGCAAAATATTGGCCAGCTCCTGGAAAGCTGATGTTAAGCATTTTTGACAATTTGCATAGTGGATGAAATGGAAACAAGTAGTACAGAATTGCTTCATAGTTTAAAACCATTTCTCACTTCTCATTGCTCTGTCATACTCCAAGGAGACCAGGAACTGAAAACCTGACTCATCTTCACGGTGAAGCCGTGAGCCTAGAATGCCAGGCCCTCCCTACACTGCCCATCTGGTAGCCAGTGCAGTGTTATCAAAGTCTTTGGCCAAACCAGATTATAAAACTCGGACTTTTCTGCTACCAAGTGCGTGCATGCGTGCCCATGCATGTGGTGATTACTGTATCTTAATCTGCCAGATTTACATACAATGTTATCCTGAATTTCTAAACTCCAAAATCACTCCTTAAAGACACCATATAAGTCCTGTGTAGTTCTCATCTAAAATAATTCAGCTGCCAAGAAAATGATTGCCCCACTGCACATCCCCACCTAACTGTCTCTTCCTGGTAATCAGGGACTCCACCATCAGGCTTCTTTTTCCTTACTCATCTGCCAAGTCTTTTCTCCATTCCCTATGCCAAGAGTCTCTGGCATAAACACCTGTGGCTGCCAAACCTTCCTGCTATTGTCCTAACATAAGCAACACGAGCAGGACCACTCTTCCCCCTCCTTGCAATTTGCTTTGTGTATTCATTCGTCAGATGCCTACAGAGGAAGCAGGAGAGAAGGAAATAAAACATTCCTTCCGCTGGTGCAGGAGAGTGGGAGAAAGAAGGAATAGCTTTCTACCTCCTAGGCTCCTATTGGCAAGAAAGCCCCTGGGACATTATAAAGTGGTTTTAAATGACTGGGTGTGATTTACATCTGTTTTCCTCTTTTCGGTAAGCTGTGTGGAAGTGTTTGATCTTTATCGAGCACGTACAGTCCCATTCCTTTTCATCTGACCAAAAAGTTGTGTTGCTCCCTAAACATCTAAGAAATCCCCTGAGAGCTGGTATCTCAGCATGAAAACATTGGCCCACAGGTAAAGATGGGTCAGCTTCTCGGTGGTTAAGACATTGCTCGGGAGACCTTTGCTGTAATATCGTGGTGAGCAAAGCACCGGTGTCGAGGGAGCTGGTGCCTGTGTCTTGACTCCACCACCAAACAGCCCTGGGTACTTGGGTGAGTCGCCGAACTTCTCTGCACCTCGGGGTCCTCATTGGTGAAATGGAGAGCATACCTAACACTGTGGGGCACTTACTAGGTGAGCGCTGTTTTACATAGCTTACACACAGCACTTCCTGCCCTCTTCCCAGCTAAGAAGCGGGTGTTGTTGCTATTACCACCTGTTCTACAGATGTCCCTGAGGCATAAAGAGGTTAGATTCTTACTTCTGGTCCCAAAGCTATATATGGAACCCGGTTCAAACCAGGCAGCCCAGTGGCCAGAATCCATGCTCTGTTGTGTTTCCTCTCGCACTGAATTGTGATCATCAAATCAGATTAAGTATCTGGAAGTAAGTGTAACATGCTGTTACTAACTTTCCTGAAGTTCACTTCCTCATCCGCCAAAAGAAGACAATACTTCTGTTTCAGGGTTTCTGAAAGGCATAAACCCACGGAAGGAGAGTGAGAATTTGCTATATCCACCTTTCACCACCATCGCCACCACACACAAAACAGGTTTTGCTTTAGATCCGGAGAAACTGCCTATGGCCTAAGCCTGTCCACTGCGATAACATACAATACAACTGACATCATTTCCCCCTTTTGCTTCTTACAGATCTTTGCGTATATGAATGAAACCTTTTCCCGAAAAGAAAAGTGGGACCTCCAAGCACTTAGGTTTTTATCCGTCAATCCGATCATCAACCCTTGGGTCTTTGCCATCCTGAGGCCCCCTGTTCTGAGACTCATGCGCTCGGTCCTCTGTTGTCGGGCTTCACTAAGAACACAAGATGCAACGGAAACTTCCTGTTCCACGCGGTCAAACGCCAGTAAACACACTGACCTTTGTGGACAATAGCTAAGAGGTGCTTCGTTAGCCAGCATCTGGAAGATCATTCTGAAATGGCTCCTCAGAGAAAGGAGAAAAGTAGTTTGTGAACAAGATGAAGCTACCCTAGTAAGAGAGGAAATCAACCTTTTAGCAGTGGTTTAGGCCGCGCGGAGCTGACAAGCACTTCCTGGAAGGCGTGGGGAGGAGCTGTGGAAATCCACCCTCCAGGAGCATGTTCCTTACAGGGCCTTTGAGAGGAACAGCCAGCTGCATGAAAGATCGGTTGCCTTTTGGTTGAAGCTTTCCTGTTGGATGAGAGAGCATGTGGTTTTGTAATCTGTTTAAAACCTGAAAGAGTTACTGTGTGTTTTCCATTTCCTCTTCTGTGTTACTACTGTTATAAACATACGGTGCACAGTCAGACCAGGTAAAACTTCATATGTGTTTTTCTAGGAAGTAGATATGTGGGAGCAGCCAAGCCTCGTGTTCTGTGATTGCTTAACAAACCCTTTCTTTTGAAAATGAGTTTTCGAACTATAGGCACTTTGTAGTATAATGTGTGTGTGTGTGGGACGGTAGGAGTGCTCTCTCCTCACTGCGGCATTACTAGTAGAAGAATAGACTCAGTTGGTTGATGTGAGCTTTTCCACTAGTCCTCTGGAAGTTGTGTGTCAAAGTATCAGATTATTTATTTTATAATGTCCAATAGTAATTAAGAAAATGTCAGGAATTTTCCAAGAAATAATAGACTAGTAAGAAAGTTGATTCTGATTAATACTCTTCATTCTATTTCCAGGGGGAGAGTATAGGTTGCTATGTCTGAAGCCATGTATTTAGGGTTAAAAACTGAAAAATCTAGTCAGTTCTTCAGATGCACTGGAACCCTTTTAACGCTGGTGTTGAGGTCATGACTGACATCTACTTTGTAAGATGATTGTGTTGTAGCAAAATTCATCTGCCCGTATTTTTATCCAGGAAACATGGTTGACTAATACTATATAGGAAATCCTGTATCAGTGAGTCATGTCTTTATATATTTCTACATCTAAATGTTTGGCCTGGTGTAAACTCAGCATCAAACTATTTCAGTGAATTTGCACTGTTTAATCATATCCTAGTTACTGTGTAAACTCATCTGAAATGTTATAAAAATAAACTATAAAAGAAAAATTTGAAAATGAAATAGTATTTGCTAAATCCTTCCAAATAACATTTAATAGCTAGAATAGATATAATATTTTTCAATGAGATAGAAAAAAATTTAACTTAGCAGGTTTTTAAGTATGGTTGTATTGTAAATTAGAGTTTAAAATATTCAATATAGTGCTTGGTGCTAGAGGATTTTTTTCCTTCCACCATGGTCTTCCAAGTAGTAAAACCATCTATTTTTTTTCCAGTGAGTATTATTACAACATAGCTGTTATAAAACACAAACACACACACACACACACACACACACACACACACACACAGAGGGATGTTAGTTTTTTTCCCCAAAACCTCATTGAGTTGCTTACGTAAAAACATTTTCTATAAGTAGTTATCAAATTAGATGATCACTTGGAGTTTTTTTTAAAACCATTCTAGGCACCAGTGTATTTGACACAATCTATGTCAAATCAGCTCTTATTTTAAAAAGAATAAATTATTTGCTTTTCTACTAATTTAAACAAACCAGGAAAAATTTAACTTAACTAAATTCTGCATATGTAAATAAATCTTCCCTGACTACCAAGTAGAAGGAATTAAGCTCATGGGTAATTCCTAATCATAAAATTCTGAGGTTAATTTGAATCTGAATTTTTCATCAGATGGGTGTGTTTCCCCCCCCTCCAAATGAAAATGTTAACTATGATCTTTCACCCCACCTCACCCCCCAAAAATAGTCTGGAATAATGCCTAATAACTTTTTTTTTAAAAAAAGCAAACTTGGACATAATATCATTAGTGGGAACAAAATAATTCACTTTGGCCGCCCAAAATATAACAGTTTAAGACATTTAAGAACTGGTAGATTTCTAGAGCTTTATTCCCTAGTTTACTTGTGTTTCTTGCACTGTGTTAAATGACTATTTCTTTTGCACTGATACATACATAGAAGGAATTGAAGATAAAAATCCCATGTAATAGTCATTCACCTAGTATGAATGGTAATTTAAAGGCAATAGAAAATTTTACTAGGATTAGGTATATGTGGATATATATATATATATATATACACATACATACATACATACATACATACATACATATTAATCCCACCCCATCAGACATACTTGTTTAGGTTTATTGAGTCATTTTCAAGTTAAATGAAGAAACACTGAACGTAGCCTGGTATATTAAAGAACCAAATTGTGATGAAAGAAGACCTGGATTTTAGTCTTTGCCCTTGTCAGTGTAATGAAAAGGGAGAAAATATATTGGATATTCACCTCAAAATGTCAGCCCCAACCTTAGGTGTCCAGAAACAGGCCAAAGCAGTCTGTTCTGAGCTGAATTATTGCTGGACAGTTCACTGTGCCCCCAGGCCATTTTTCCCAGGAAAGAACTGGGAAATTCTCTTCCTAAACTGTGGCCTTGAATCTCCAAAGATACTGTAGGGACCTGAGTTTGCTTAGAAGCTATAGAAAGCCTCTCCCGAAGACCTAAACCTCAGAGAGTTTGAATCCAGAATCAGACTTTGAACCAGACCAAAGCTCTAGAAAAAGCACCCACCCCAATAGCAATGCTGGCAGAGCTGCAAGCCCTGAGCGGCAAGGAGGGCAAAGCCCAGCCACGTCATTACGTTTTCAGTGTAATTCAGTTAAACTGTCAGCGCCCTGCCTGCTCCTGTCAGTGCACATGGAGAGAGAGATGGTCTGATAACTGAGTGTTAATGTAATGTCATTTCTGATTTGAACCAAGAAAAAAACAAACAAACAAAACAACACACTGTAGTCAGGTTTAGAATTTGATGACTTAGAAAGTCAGGCTAAGCCAAAAAGCTAGCACTTGAGAGCAGAGGTTTATTTATTTCACTTAGCCCAGTGGTCGGCAAAGTCATTAGCCAACAGAGCCAAATATCAACAGTACAATGATTGATTGAAATTTCTTTTGAGAGACAAATTTTTTAAACTTAAACTTCTTCTTAAGCCACATCTTCAAAATAGACTTGCCCAGGCCGTGGCATTTTGTGGAAGAGCCACCCGAAAGGGGCCAAAGAGCCGCATGTGGCTCGCGAGCCACAGTTTGCTGACCACGGACTTAGCCAAATGTAGTGGTTTAAGCCAATCAAATGGTTTTCTGAATCTGAGAAGAATTCCTACTTGAGGCATTCACAGATAGAGAAGCAGCCTTGTCTGCAGATGAGTGATTTATATGTAGATGGACTTATAAAGCCTTCTTATACAGATGGTGTTGCAACTTGAATATTTGATGTCTATTTTCTGTCTTCATTAAACACTTAACTCCATTGGATTTCCTCTCCAAGGGCACATTTATAACATACCTCCAATCACTAACAGCATTATAATTGATTGCTTTTAAATTTACAAAGCATTTGATTGCACTATGGATAGAAATGTTGTTTTAGCAATTCCCCAAAGCTATAGTCTAACTTATACATGGGGCCAAGTCCATACATTGGGCATTAATTTTTTATTTCAGAAAGTGACTCTTTTTTGTTCTGGTAGATTGTGTGATTTTTTTTTTATTGTAAGTAAATTTCCTTGAATTATATTTTTTTATTTACTGTACAACGTCTGTACTATTAAAGGTCGGTTTGAGTGGTTTAATACCACGATATTCGTGTTTCATTTGTTAAAATCTGCCAAGAGTCAAATATATTAGTGAGGATTCCAACTGAAGGAGATGACATACTCAGAAGGGTGACTCAGGCAGGGCTGTTGAATAAAAGGAATATTTACAGAGGAGAGGGAAGGATCCCTTGCAGCTGTTATCACTCATAAGCCAGAAGACACAAGCCAGGAGCAGTTTCTGGAAACTGGTGAGAGCTGTAGGAGGTTCCACCCAGCAGGAGCTGTGGCCTTCAGGAGGGAAGCACAGCTGCTGCCACCACAGGGCGGAAATGAAGGGACTACTTCCTGTAGGATCTCTCCTCATGCTCTCTATTAGTCAGCTTGTTCCTCCCATTGGCCAAACCAACCTTAATCCAGAGGAACCTGGGCAATGAAGCCCTGAGTATGGGTGGAGAGTAGACTGAGAGGGGAAAATGGAGAATACCCATCATAAGTAGATTAAAAATATGGGGGGGTTTTGTTTGGTTTTTTGTTTTTGTTTTGTTTTGTTATACCTACACAAAAAGTGAAAACACAAAGTGGGCAGCCTCTCTTCTTGAAGTTTACTCCAAATAGATAGATACCCAAGCCTGGGGAATAGGGACCAGCCCCATCTGTATGGAAAGGAGTAAAATACTGTAGATTTCTTCACCTCAATATTTGTCATTGGCGAGGTGCACTCTGAGGCTGAGCATTTATATCTCTCCTACTCTGGAGGCAGTTAATGTGATGAGGGCAGAGAAAGGGGACCAGACCAAAGCAACTTTCAGTTTACTCTGTCCCCAGGCCTATAGCTATAGCTATTCCTAAGCAGAACAAAGGGAGACAGCCATGTATACGTGTCTGGAAATGGCCTGAAGCCTTGTTTTTAAGAAGGGCCACTGAGTGAGAAAAAGCTCACTATTCCCATGAAATGCTGAGGGCATGCCATATCCCCAAACTTAACATAAGCTGGGATAGGTCTATACAGCTGTTATCTAAAAAGAGTATATGTAACAGCTCAACAATTCTGCATAGTTTAAAATGCTGATAAAAAAATATCATGAAAAAATAAAATTTTAACAATCTGGAAAGAGATTGGACAAAGTATGATGCCTCAGGCCATCTGTCCATGTTGTTTTTTCTGTATCACAGAATTTGTCTTTACTCTCTCGTCTCACCTCCTAGAAAATACTTTTCCTAGCACACAGTGTCTCCTTCTCCTCCATCACTAGATCCTGTCCTCCTTCATGCCCACGCTCAACCTTTCCCTTTTTGGCAAATTCTAGATTTACCAGGAGATATTAAATATTTGTCAGACTGCCGGGAGTTTCTCAGACAAGTTATTGAACCTCTCTCACTCTATAAAACAATAATAATGAAATTATCTATCCCCTCAATTATTTTGAAGATTAAACAAGTAACTGCATGTAGGACATTCAGCATAGTGCCTGGATGTGGTAATGAAATTAGGAATTACTATTTCCTTAGATGCCCAGTTGAGTGGCTCCTCTGATTTCCTCACATACATAGGATTCAAATTGCTCCCTGTTGTTGGGGGTTGTGGTGCTAGGGGTCACAGGATCTATTTGTTAATTCTAGGTAACTGTCAAGAATAATCATGATGCCGAAACAGGTTTGGCTCAGTGGATAGAGCATCAGTCTGCAGACTGAAGGGTCCCAGGTTAGACTCTGGTCAAGGGCATGTACCTTGGTTGAGGACACATCCCCAGTGGGGGGTGTGCAAGAGGCAGCTAATGGATGATTCTCTCTCATCGATGTTTCTAACTCTCTATCCCTCTCTCTTCCTCTCTGTAAAAAATCAATAAAATATTTTTTTAAAAGAATAATCATGATAATAAGCATATAGGACAAGTTTGTATTTCAGAAAATGTAGTGAAGACTGGCACACATGGGACAGTGTAGAATGTGTACACATGAAAGAGGAGACCAGGAGAGACAGAAGGACAACAGGACACAGAACGTGGTTCATGTCCCCTTAATGGAGGCACAAAATGTGGTTCAAACAGGACATCTGTGTCAGGAAACACAACTCTATCACAAAGCTAAAATCTTCTGAAGATCCCCATAGTAAGTCCAAGCCAGGTGCCACAGGTGACCTTTTCATGTTCCTGAAACCAGCATGCAAGACTTCCTTCCCTTCTCCAGTCAAAACATTCCTCATTTCCTCAACTATCCCTTAGGTGAAACTTCACCACTCGGGTCCCTTGCTTTAGATCCTATCCAAGCTGTAAGTGCCCATCTTAAGCCACTGGGCCAGAACCAAACATCAATAAATAATTCGAGATCAGTCTTGTCAGTGCTGAATGCTGCTCTGTCAGCTGCTGGCTTGCTCCGTACCTTGTACTTCCATTCATTCAACCTGAGATTACAAAGATTTATTAGCAACTAGGTTGTGCTTTATCATTTTCAGCAAATGAAAGAAGCAACAACATTGCACGTTACTAGAGGTAAGCTGGGTGTGCAGTGGTGAGGG